CTTACCATCACTGTTCCAGACCTATAATTTTAAAATTACTGCTCAGTACCGAAGGTGAAATGATTTTACTGCCGCTGGTCTATTAAAGTCATAAGAATCAGCACTGTCTTGGAGAGTGTCTATGGCCACGCCAAGCCCTGTCCCCATGGACACGCCTGCAGGTGTGCCGGGGCCAGGTCAGTGGTCTGGGGCTGGTGCCTGGGCATCTCACAGGGTGGGGTGGGCACTCAGCCCCCAGCCTTGCTCTTCCCCCAGCAGCCCCTGGCCGAACCAAGGCTCTGGGGGCGCAGCGGCACCAGGAAGCCCCATTCACTCCAAAGCGGGGCCCAGACTGGCTGCCTCACCCCACGGAGCTCAGGTCACAAACCTGACTTTTCTTTTGCCAGTTTATTTTTAGTAAATTTTTTCTTGCTACGGTAAAATATACATAACACAAAGCTTACCATTTTAACCACTCCCATCGTGTGGCTCAGTGGCATTCGGTATATTCACACTGTTGCTCGGCCTTCGCCACCATCCATCTCCTGAAGCTGAAACTCTTGTACCCATTCAACACGAACTCCCCGCTCTTTCCTCCCCCCAGCCCGTGGCAACCACCCTCCTACTTGCTGTCTCTATGAATGTGATTCCTCTACGTCCCTCCTATCAGTGGAATTATGCTGTCTATTTGTCCTTTTGCGACTGGCTTAGTTCACTTGGCATGATGTCCTCGAGATTCAATCATGCTGTAGCACGCGTCAGAGTGTCCTTCCTTAAGGCTGAGGAATAGGCCATTGTTTATCCAGTCTTCTGTTGATGGGTACCTGTGTGGCCTCCAGCCCTGTGGTTATTGTGTTATTGCTGCTAAAAACATGAGTGTTCAAGGACCCCCTGGGCCTCCTGCTTTCCATTCTTTCGGGTATATACCCAAACGTGGGATTGCGGGGTCCCATGGCCGTTCTATGTTTAACCTTTTGGGAAACTGCCCACCTGTTTTCCAAGGAGCTGCACCATCATATGTCCCCATCAGTGGTGTGCAAGTGTTCTAACGTCTCCACATTCTTGCCAGTACTTGTTATGTTCTTTCTTTCTCCCCCTTTAAAAAATTTATTTATTAGAGAGAGGAGTACGGGGAGGGACAGAGGGAGAAGCAGACTCCCTGCTGAGCAGGGGAGCCCAATGCGGGGCTGGATGCGGGGCTGGATGCAGGGTTGGATGCAGGGCTGGATGCGGGGCTTGATCCCAGGACTCCCCGGATCATGACTTGAGCCGAAGGCAGATGCTTAACTGACTGAGCCACCCAGGCGCCCCTCTCCTTTTTAAAATTATAGCCATCCTAATGGATGGAAAGTGATATTTCATTGTGGTTTTGATAATTTTAGTATTTTCTTTTTTAAGTAGGCTCCACACCCAGTGCAGGGCCCAAACTCAAAACCCAGAGATCAAGAGCTAGGCTGAGATCAAGAGTCAGATGTTTAACTGACTGAGCCCCCCAGGTGCCCCTGATAGTTTTAGTATTTTAAATTCAAATAAACAGTAACTTCCTTTCTCTAAAGCTATTTTTCCCCCCTCTTACCTCTTTTCCTGTCCTCCTGTCATCCTATTCCAAAAGTTGTACATTAGGTGCCATTCAGAAATCCCTCAGTCGTGGGTTTCCATGCTACTTTCTACCGAAATGGCTGAGGTTTAAAAATGTCATTTGAAAAACATGGATTCTAACGTATATGGGAGCAAAATAGCAATTTAGGAGACACTGTCGGGTGAGGCTCCTCTGTGGTCCCAGAAGGGTCTTGGAAAGTGCCCAAGAACAGTTTCTGTTCAAGGAGAGAACAACTGTCTTCTCATCATTTGAGTGAGTAGCTGGTCTGGGGGCCTTGAGTGCTTCTCTCCAAGGGGGCGGTCTGAAGCCTGGGGGTCAGTCGGTATGTCTACATGCTGGAGGGTATGCTCACAGGGCTGAGCACATCTCTCCAAATGCGCTCCGCTCTGCCTCCTGGCTGTCCTCCTGGCAGAACGATCGAGGGAAGAGTAGAAATTCACGCTGGGAAGAGTGGAAATGTTCCAAGGCCAGGATGAGCTGGGTAGAGGTGGGGGTGCTTGGAGAGGATGATAGGCAGAGCAAGTCCCACAGGACCATGAAGCTCAGGTTAAGAACTTTGAGGTCTGTTCTGGGGTATTTTCTGCAGGGGGCATGATCCATTTTGCACGTTGAAAACGTGAGCTGCTGATTGGGAGGCAGGGGACCATTGTAGAAGGTTTCTGCAGAGATCTACAAGAGAGGAGATAGATGATGGCTGGGACCAGGAAGGTGCTGTGGTGATGGAGAGAAGGGACAGATTTGAGATACATGGTAGGGACTAGCTATCCAGACTTAGTCATGGATTGGTGTTGGGGGATTAGGGTAGGGGTTATTGACTCAATAAATGATGTGACCATGAACAGAGCGGGACCCAAGGGGAAGGTGCAGACTGCAGAGTGAGAAGTGTTTGGTCTAGAGTGCAGTTTGGACGAAGAAGCGTTTGCCCTCCTGGAAGGCACCTGCTTTAGTTTTACTTGCCGAAGTCACGTTTAGCCTTTGATCCCCAAGTAAATTCTAACTATTTGAAATCAAGAAAGACAATGACCATCCAACTTGTCAACTGGTTGGATAAGAGCGGGCTTGAACTTGCGTCTTCCTGCAGGCAAATGATGGAGGAAGATATGGGGAGCTCTCCAGCCGCAGTGGCTGCCTCCCTGTCCTGCAGGGGTCTTGGGGCGTGTGGCTGAGAATAAGCATTGGCAGTGACCCTGTTGTTCTGGACAGAGGTTTATGTGGGACAACTCTGTTGTGTGTGCACCTTCTTGGGGGCTATTACTGACTTCATCCTCTTTCCCACTAAATTCTCAACTAGTTGGAAGAGTTTGGGTTGTGATAGAAAACTCCTGGTTACAACGGATGCTGGAGCAGATGCCAGATGTTTGTTAAAAAGTTGCAGGGTCATTGAGCTGGGGTGTCCAGTCCTGCAGCAGAGACTGGGCTGCCAGGAACCATTCCAGAAGTGGCTAGTTGGGTTGGGGGGAGAGGACTAGGCCAGGGCTACATTGGGGAAACCGGGGCAAGGCCCCTGCGTGGGTTGGCAGCCTCTAGAGGGCACTAAACTGGAAAAGGGGTGTCAGGTAGCTAAGATCTCAATATGAGCAAGGAGTAGCTTTGTGCCAAAAAATTCATTAATCAAGATAAACCATGTCTTTAAAAGTTATTTTAAAAAATAAATGCAAAAAATCCATGATGAACAAAATATCAAAAATTTAGATACAGATGGGTGGTGCTTGTTTGTTTTACCATCCTGCACTATCGTGCAATGGAAACAATTGTTTCTAACCAGCCCAAAGTTCCCAGATAGCTAACTGGGCTGTCCCCTGCCTCCCGGGCTTATGAGGGTTGACAAGTGGTGTGGACAAATTGGGCAATTTTGTGATTGTAGAGCTTTTATTGATCTTTCCACTCAGTTCAAAATATGGGAGGATATTTTGATAAATGTATATAGGGGTTCACATTTTTCCTTTTGCCTCAGGCTCCAATAGGACTCCCCATGGCCTTGGTCTCCACTATAGATTCCTTTCATAGCTTGGAAAGCATGCATCTAGAAAGCATCCTCAAGTGGACACAAAATTTCGGACCCTCCCTGCCAGCTCTGCAATTCTGTTGAACATTTTTGCCATGCATAAATGCCCATTACACGAGCAGCCAGCAGTCTTGGGAAATTCTGAAACCAGATTATGGCAGGCTAGTGCTCTTTACCATAAATGAGTCGTTTATCTTGTTACTTGATTCTTAAATCATTTGCTGCTACATCTCTCAAGAAGTCGGCTTTTGAAAAATCACCAAAGAAATTAGAAGAGAGAGAACACACACCCACCCACCCAGAAAAACTAAAAGGTGTTTTCCCTCCCATTTTTTAAATTAAAATCCAGTTGGCCTGCACAGTAAAAATGAGTTAGTGAGTTACACAGCCTACAGCTTTCACTAATACAGTATCAGTTCCTCTTTACCTTCTCTCCGAAAAGGAGAATACGGAAGGGAGTGGTGGTAGCTGAAGAGGGGTCCTGCCTCAGCTCAGCAGGCATGGGGGCGCCAAGCCTCCAGGCAAGGACCTCTGATTGCACATTGGTCTCAAGAAAGGAGGGTTGACCCTGCTTGACTCTAAATGGCCTCCTCAGCTCTTCTCCCTGTCTCTCTCCCGGCTTTCTGCCTCTTTGGGACCAGCCCCCTGGTTGACACCACTCGCAGGTGGCAGCCCCAAGCCTGAAAAGCGAGCCTCCTTTCCATTCCCCAGGACCTGACGAGGTGATTAGGTGGGCTCAGGGGTCCCCGGAACGGGTGAATTTCCAGAGGCCTGACGTGTTCCCCAGTATCTCTTCACAAGCCTTGCTCTGCACAGAAGGATGCATTTCAGGGATGTGCCAGGGCCAGTCGGGCTGTGGCAAACGAGGGCCACAGGGGTTGCAGGGGCGGGAACAGGGCCACCTCGCGGGGCAGACAGGCCTGCGCCCTGCGCCACCTCGCGCCGTCCTGCCCTCAGGTCCCCTAAGCAGCCACCTTCTACCAGTCCTCTCTCCCCTCCACTCCCTTCCCCTCCCCGGCACAGCGGCCCCAGTTCGTGGGCCGGGAGCAGACCGCGCCGGAGCTGACGGGGCCCTGGCTCCAGGGCTGCGGGGCGGGGGGCGCCGACCGGCCCGGGCGGCGGCGCGGAGCTGTCCAGCACCGAGGCGGGGCGCGCGCCCCCGGCCCGCCCCGCCGCCTCCCCCCGCGCCCGGCCAGCGCCACTGCGGCTCGGCGGGCGCGTCACGTGGCTGGCGCGGCGCGGCCTCCGGGCTCCGGGCTGGCGCGGGGACCCACAGACCCACGGACGCACCAGCGACGGCACCCGGCCGCGCGGGGCCGGGGGCGCCGGGGCCGGGCGGGCTGCGCACCGAGGGGCATGGGCGCGCCGGGGGCCCCCGGGCACAGGCCGGCGGCGGCGGCGGCGGCGGGGGCGGCGGCGGCGAGGCGCCCGGGGCGCGGGGGCAGCGGCGGGCGGGGGTCCTCCCTGGCGGCCGCCGCTGAGCCCCCGCGGGGCCCGTGACGCCGCGGCCGATGTGGCCCCGCGCGCGCTGCGGGCCTGCACCGCCGCCTCACAAAGACGCCGCCGGAGCCACCGCCCGCACCCGGCCGGCAGCCGCCGCGGGAGCCCGAGCCGGAGCCCGAGCCGGAGCCGGAGCCGCTGCCGCAGCCTGGGGGACAGGAGGCGGCGCCCGCGGGCGGCCGGCCCCGGCATGGAGAAGCGGGCGGCCGCGGGGTCGGAGGGGGCGCCGGGCGCCCGGGCGCAGCTCGCCGTCGTCTGCCTGGGTGAGCGGGCCGCGCAGGCCGGGCGGGGCCGGGCCCCCATCTCGCCGCTCCGCGCCGCGCCCCGGGCGACCCTGGCCCGGCCCGCTCCCCCGGGCTCCAGCCGGAGCTTTCCGGAGCGGGCCCGGACGGCCCCCAGCGCCCCCCCCGGCCCCCCCTCCGGCCTGCTGCGCTCTCGGGCCTGGGAGGCGACTCTGGCAGCCGAGCCCCGGCTCCCGCCCGGCTCGCAACAGCGCGTGGAGCCCGGGGCAGCGGGGCGCGGGGCGGCCGCGTGGTGCGGGCGGGCAGGCAGTGGCTTTCCGCCGGGCCTGGCGGGGTTGGGGCCTCCGGAGCTGCGGACAAAGGCGAGGCGGGCGGGTCTGCGGCCGGCTGTGCCCTGAAGAAGGAAGTGTTTCCTGCCGGGACCTGGGGTGGGGGCGGGTGCCAGCGGGAGCCGCGGTCGGGATGCCGGGCGGGAGGCAGCGGCGAGAGTGACTCCTGTCTTGCCTTTGTGTCTAAGACCCAGCGGGCAGGCCTGTTCAGCCCAGCGTGGTGTGTTTGGGGAGGGCCCTGGGACCTGTCCGGGCCTGGCACCTGGGTGGGAGGGACTCCCGCCCTATCCAGGAGTTTTTCTGTCCACCGCTCCACGGCCCTGTGTTGGGTGGGGGAGAGGGGAAGAAAGGAGTTAAATCCTCAATCCACATGGCTCCTTTATTTACCATGATGAAGGAGGGAGGCCATGATCCGAGCTTGGGGTCATTAGGGGACACCCTACCGTGACATTAGTGAAGATGCTGTAAGCCCCATAAGTTTGCTTGAAGCTACGGAAATGACACAGTGAAAAAGAAACCTGTCCATTTTAAGCTTTGCCCTCTTCTTGGAGGCCAGAATCAGGGAGCTCTGAGTCTTGTGGAAGGCCCCTTGGTTCAGGTGTGGTAAAGTCTAGTAAGGGCTGGGATCCCCCGCAGAAGTGCCCACTGCCCAGTCTGTTAGTGGTCATGTGCTCTGGACTCTGAGCTGTTGGGCGCTGGGCTTCCCAGGTGAGCAGGGCAGGAGGACAGGCCCTTCGGCTTACCCAAGGCCCTCTCTGCCCAGATGTGGCCCAGGCTCTGGCTAGCAGAGCCTGGGGTTTTCAGAGGGGGCATCTGCCCCTGCATCCTCACCAGGTGGGGGCTGACCTGGCAGAGATGCTCCCTGCCTCCCTTGGCATCTTTGATGTTGGGGAAAGGAGGCACCCTGAACCCTGGGAAGTTGAGTTTGCCCATATCCTCCTCCTGGTCCTGTAAACCCCTGAAGAAAAGCAGTAGATGAAAGCAAAGGACAAACCCCATGGAGGTAGATACTTGAGGGGATGGGTGGCAGGAGAGTTCTTTGCCCCTCTTCTCAAGGTCAGCATGGCATAGTGAGGTGGACCTTGAATCCTGCTAACTGTGCATCCCTATAAAATGGGGTAATCGGAACTGCTTCCTCCCTCCCTGGCTTGTCGGTAGCCCAGGTGGCTGGCAAAGCCCCTCAGAGGGATTCCTCCAAGTGGTCGGGGCCCCTTGAAGGCAGAGCCCTTATCCAGGCTGAACCAGGGTGGCCCCACACGAGCTTCCGAGCTGGAGAGGGGAGACAGAAACACATCCCTTCCCATGTGAGTTAGAATCCACAGGCATGGGGAGCAACAGAAGTGGTCTGTTGCAACCAGGCTTGTGCGCTGGCTCTCTTTGGGAGAAGCTGGGGGGTCCTGAGACCCTCGAGGGGTCTCCCCTCTGCTCATCCCAGCAGGACCAGGTGGGAGTGGAAGTCTCTGGCAGCACGCTGGGCCTGGCCCTGTGAGATGAAAGAAGTGGCCCGGAGTTTGGCTGTGTTGTCCTGCGCCCATCTAGGGCTGCTGTTGGCCCAGGGCAGGTGTTGGCCCCAAGAGCCACTGCCTCCTGCTGACTCCTCCTTGTGTCTCCCACAGTAAACATCGTTCTCACCGGGCGGCTCAGCAGTGCAGTTCCTGCTTTAGGTGAGTGAGATGCTTCTCCTTCCTCCCTTCTTCCCTGCCCTTCTGGTCCTAGTGACCTTTGAGGACAGGCCTTCAGGGCCCGTCCACCTCTGTGGTCAGCTGGCCTCATCCAACTTTAGCCCTTGTGAACTTTTCCTGCATCACCAAGGAGTCGTTTGTCCTTGGGCAAGCTTACACCTCCCTGAGTCTCAGTTTCCTCTTCTGTAAAATGGGCGCAGTAACAGGACCTACCTCAAAGCCTGGTTATTAGGGTCAAATGAGCAAATGAGACAAGGCACTCAGCGTGGCCATGACACATGGTGGCTTTTAATGCCACTAGCAGACTGTCATGAGTCCAGCATAATTGACAGGTTGTGCTTCCTGTAGGCTGTGGGGTTCCCTGAGGCCACGAGGCACGGTGAGATGCCTGCCTGTTTTAAAGTTATACCTGGGATTCAGCTTATGAAGGTATGACCGAGTGATGACACAGAGAGGCCAATGCCATTGACAGGAGAATTTGTTAGTCATGTGTCTTGAGATGAAGGGACAGGCCACACCCCACAGGGCCACAGGGGGAATGCCAGGTTTGGTTAGGCAGATTCAGGAGTGGGAGGAAGGCCCAGGCTCGGCCTTTGTTGGAGTTTCCATGGGAAAGGCTAGGCAGGGCTGGGGAAACAGCTCAGGCTTGGCTAGTTTCAAGAATTCTGGCTGGCTTGAGGCTACAGGGGTGGTCTCTAGTTGCCTGGTACCTGGCCCTGGGATGATCTAGGGCAGGGGAAACACTGGCTTGGTATGCGAATTAGAAAAGAAGGTGGCTCAGCCTGGGTTCAGCTGGTCTGTCTAAGCAAGACCAGTCCCAGGCAAGCTGGTGCGACGGAGAGAGATTCCCACGTTGGCTGATGTTTTGGCCCTGAGATTAGTGGTGGCCTATGGGATCTAAGAAACACGGTTAAACTCCACCCCTTTCCCCTGCCTGTCACAGTGGGTCCAACCATCCACAGGCCATCTTTGTGTTCGGGCCCCATGCCAGGCACCTCGAAGGCTGTCAGGAGCGGGAGGGGCGACTGAGGCCATCAAGGGCATTTGCTCTTTGCTGCGGGGACTGCCACGGGGAAGCCCCAGGCCTCATGGCCCTTGGGGCCACCGGGAGACATCTGAGAAGGGCCTTAGGGAGCTGGGGACAATGTGCGGTCTCTGGAGTGGGGGGCCTGTGACACTCGCTGTGCTGCCTTGTGGGTTGGAGGCACCTGGGGTTTCTAATTCTGCTCAGGACCTTGTAGCCGAAAGCCACTGAGGCTGGCTCAGGGAGAGGGATCTCTGCGGGCCACGGTCACTGGGATGGGGAGACCCAGGGCCCACCGAAGCTGCTTTCGCAGGCCCATCTCTCAGATGCGGCTCCTCGGGCTCCCTCCTGATTTCCCCTGCAGGTGGACTCCTGTTCCCTGCAGTCTGGCCTCCTCTGCTGATGCAGCTGGCCCGGGGCCCTGACTTACTCACCTGTGGTGTCCTGGCCCATGCAGCGAACTGCCCAGTCTCCCCATCCCAATTTCCCGGGGGACATTGACTGTCCCCGCTGGGGTCAGGGGTCTGTGGCCATGGTAGAGAGTGGGAGGGAGGGGACCCGGGGAGGGGGGTCAGGTCTTACAGATGTGAGACCCAGGTGAGCCCTCCTGCTGGTGTGGGGGGTGGCCATGTGGCCTCAGCATGTTGGCCACATGCTTGTGCCCTGGGTTTAGAAAGTGATGTTCCAGGGACAAGGTTCGCTCATAGAGTCAGGGAGAGAAAGAGCCATGCAGGTCTGCACGTTTGGTAGGTCTTAGCCGGCATCTGCATTGTTCTTTGGGGGCCACCATTCACATCATGGTGCCTATGCGTGGCGTCCCCGAGGCTTGAGCTGCGTGCTCGACCCGTGTGGCCACAGGCAGTGGCCGGGGGCCCTAGCTCTCCTGGAGTCTAGCTCTATCCCTCTAGCATTGCTCAGAGGAGCGGACACCAGCTTCAGGCTGCCTGAGGTGACGGCTCAGACCGGGGCCTGGCTGGACTGCCTGGGGAGACCTCACAGGTGTCTGCCTCCCAGCCCCCGGTCCTGCCCCAGGTTGGCACGCACAGACTGGGTCCGCTGACCCACCTCCCGCACCCCGGACTCGGGGCTCGGCCATGTGGCTGCTGGGGACGCCAGCGCTGTGAGCCTGGACAGAGTCTCCAGGCTGCTTTCCACTCACCAGGTAGTCTCCCCCGCACGCTGGGTTCGGGGGCCCCCAGCTCCCTGTCGTGTAGTGACAGCACGCAGGTTGTCTAGAGTATTGATTGCCTCTGGAAACCGGATCTGCAAACTGTGCTCCATCAGGCCTTGCTCATGCTTCCTCAGCACTATGTCGTGACTCTTTAGACCAGGAAAGAAGGGAGTTTGCTGGTGCTCGGTCATCCCTTGCCCCCTTAAGCAGGCCACCTTGGCCCAAGGGCTAAGTAGTCTTCCGCCGGCGTGAACAGAGGTCACCTGCAGTTAAAGCCCCCAAACACCCCCAAACGCTATCCTGCAAACACAATCCTCCCATCACCCTCCACTGCCCACTCATCATCACACACCCCGTCAGATCCTCACCTCCACGGGGCGCCTCCCATGCCCCCCATCACGTGAATGTCTTCCTAGAGATTGCCACTTTCCTCGAATTTCCCAGCCACCCTCCGAGACAAGCAGCACCCACGGACTCCATTTTACTGATGGGCAAGTTGAGGCCTAGGGCGGAACGGCGTGCCTGGCAGTGTGAGCCCTGGGAGTGGACTCGTGAGGCCTTTCCCCAGCCTGTGCCTTGATCCTGGGGTGGGAGCGAGGCTGCCATCACAGAGACACCTGGGGCTGGTTGTCCGAGCTGGTGATCGCCTCCAGGCTCAAGGCCAAGCGAGTGTCCAGTCAGGAGGCCCTGACCCGAGCTCCCAGCGCCCCTGCACGGACTCTGCCCTCTCTCCTGCTCCACGTGCACTCTGTGTGGGCCAGGCTGACGGCTGCAGAAAACGTGATCTCTTGCTGCCCCCTATGTGGGAATTTCTGGGGCAGTCCTGGGGGCTGCTCAGTGGGGAGGCTCTTTGGGGGGACATGTTGTCAGGGGCTTTGCTGAGAGGTAGAGCTGGGCTGGCAGCTGCTAGTCCCTTGCTCCTGACTCGGCTGCTGGTCCGAGAGACCTGGAAAGTAGGGCCAGACCTAGGTCTAGAAGCATATTCTGGCTGGGGCAGGTGATGCCGGTAGGATTCACGGGTGAGGAACCTGGCCTTTCTGAGTGTTTTGTCCCTGAGGAAGGCTGGCCTCCTGGGCAGGGTAGGTGTGACCAGGCCCTGCTTTGCCCCCGGCCCTGTTCTAGGGGGTGAGGGGACAGGGCAACAAAGGGTGCTTCCTGCCCTGGCTGACGGAGTCTCCTGACTTCGGGTTTACTGTGTGGATTTGACGTAGAGGGGGAAGATGCACCCCAGCCGTGCCAGGTTCTCCCTGCCTGTGAACCTCTTGCCCAGCACCGTCCAGGAGGAGAAGCCTCTTCTGGCTTTCATAACCTCACACCTCCCAGGTCCCCGGGGCAGCACCCAGGGTCTCTGTGAGGCTCACAAAGCCAGTGGCCTCATCTGTCAGAGGGAAGGGGCCCTGGTCCTTCCCCTCCTGCGTGCTCTTATTGATCCTGTTTGATGGGTCAGAAATCTGCGGGTCGGGGAGGCTGGCCCTCCAGGCCACCGGGGAGTGCCAAGCAAGCCTGGTGCCTTGCTGACCAGGAGCTACCGGGGCTCTGATGGCAACCCGCGGGTGGCCAGCCTTGTTTCAGGGTCAAGTGTGGGTGTTTCTCTTTAGTCCTTTGATGCTTTCGTGAGCTGTTGGCAGGGGTTTCCACTTCCCTGTTAGTCACAGTATTGGATCACCTGGACCTCCCTGGTCACGGTCCTGAGAGCATGGGAGGCAGCTGGAGTCTTGTTGAAGGCCAGCAGAGAGGCCCTGGCTTGAGGGCAACAGTGGAAGGGGCCAGGCAGTATGAGAGTGGGGAGGTGGTGTCACTGGCTTCAGTTTCTCCATCTGTGTAATGGACCCTGCCTTTGCCACAGGCTTTTGTGAGGATCAGACGAGGTGGTGTGGTGAAGGGCTGCAGGGGCTGGAAGGGGTAGGTGTGGTCAAGTGCAGAGGCCTTGCCTGGTCCCGGGAAGGCCAGGACACACCAGTGCAGGCTCTGGAGTCTCCAGGCTGGGCCGGCTCAGCTGGAAGCAGAGGCACGAGTAATGAAGTGGGTAAAGCAAGGCCCGCAGGGCTGGGCTTTATGGCATTCCTCGATCGCACTGGCTGGGATGATAGCCTGCACTGGTCCCTGAGGCAGCAGATGGTCAACATTTCATAAATGCTTTGGTTCAAGGCCGGCAGTGAGAGGCTGATCCCACCAGGGGACTAAGGCTGACCCTGACTCTGTCACTTACTGCTCTGTGGCCATGGGCAGGTCCCTTGCCCTCTCTGAGCCTGTTTCCTTGTCTGGTTATGACATCTACCTCCGGTGGCTTCCCACTGATGCTCAGGATGAAACCCCAGTGCCACACAAGGTGTGATCAGACCCAGCCTGTGTTCCGGCCCCATCTGGACATTGGCCTCCCTGCAGGCCTGTTTTATGATCTTCACTGCCCTCCCCCCCAAGAGATGAGCATGTCTGCTCTCCCTGCAGCCTCCACGGAGTGGGGCTTTTGACTGTCTTCCTCAGCATGCCTAGTCCTTGTGCCTGCCACTTAGTAGGTACCCAGTAACTCTGTGCTGGGTGAGCAAAGCCCCTCCCCTCCCGGGGCCAAGGCCTGTATTTGTCCCAGGGAGGGCAGGCAGGGAACCGCAGTGGATTGCCCATGCAGGCCCAACAGGCCTAGGGGTGCAGAATTCTCCCCTGAGCTGAGGCCAAGAGGCTGCACCTTGGAGGTGCCAAGGGGGCTGTTGGTGGGCTCATTACCAGCCCTGCGGGGAATGGGGGATAGGACCTACGCTTCGGTGCACAGGGTATGGCTGGGGGCCAAGGCTGCCCTGAGACCTTGTGGGTCCTTGCCCCCCCATAACCATGAAGTCTTGCGTTTGGCCTTGCCCTGGCCATGACCACCCTTGTCTGGCCTTGATCCCACCCTGGGAAAGGCCCATGCTCAAGCCACGGCGGGGGGGGGGCTCGAGTGCACCCCCACCTCCCTTCCCACCCAGAGGGCAGCCGGCCCTTCTCAGCCTCTTGTCCCGACAGCCGCCTGCAGCGGGAGGCTGGAGCAGCACATGGAGCGGCGCGGCGTCATCTACAGCCCGGCCTGGCCCCTCAACTACCCGCCGGGCACCAACTGCAGCTGGTACATCCAGGGTGACCGCGGGGACATGATCACCATCAGGTAAGGGGACCCAGGGCGTCAGAAGGGAACTCCGTGGGCCTGCACATGCTGAGTAAGTGTGTGTGTGTGTGTGAGAGCGTGGGCGCGTGTGTAATGGTGCCTGTGTGTGAGTGCACGTATGAGCAGGTGCGGAGGGCAGGTGTGTGTGTGAGCACATGCATGCACATGAACACGTGTATGAGCAGGTGCAGAGGGCAGGGGTGTGAGAGTCTGCGTGTGCATGAGCACATGCATGGACAGGTGCAGAGGGCAGGGGTGTGTGTAAGTATGGGTGCATGTGAGTGGTGTGCACATGTGTGAGCATGTGAGTGTGCCCAGCTCCCTGGGTGTCTGTGGGCCCCTGTAGCAGGCCACCTCTCCTGCTGGACCTCTGCCATGTGAGCCTCTCTCATGGACCGCGGGGGCCGTGGATGCCCTCAGCCCGGCCAGGGAGAGGAGCCGGGGGCACTGGGCTTTGAGGTGGCGGAAGTGTTTTCTCTGCCCTGCAGGGGGCTTGAGGCCAGGCTGGCGTGGAGCCCAGAGCAGGGGTTCCCCAGGGGCCTCGGGGCCAGTCTGGGCAGGAGATGGAGCTAGGCAGGAGCCCAGGCGCTCCAGCTGCAGGGACGTGCCGAGGTGCGAGATGTGGAACCGAGTCTGGAACCCTGGCCTGGGGTGGCCGTGGGGGATCGGGTCGGGGTGCCAAAGCCCAGAAGGCCCAGGTACTCCCTGGCTCCCTGGCTCCAAAGCAGAGGGGCATCCTGGTGTCTGTGCCTGCTTGCCGCACAGCCTGGGCTGGGGGGCCAGCACCGGGGTTTCTCTCCAGGTGACAAGCTGTCACCCAGCCGTGGCTAGGCCAGCCCTGTGTGCATCTACTCCCTCATTGGAGAGGCCTGTGTGTGCTGGGTCTATCCCAGCAGACCCAGCGAGGGAGGGATCTGGACCCTTCAAGGGAGCATGTCGGGGGAAGGAATTGCGCCTGATGGGGCTTCTGACGCCCCCTCCACTTTGGCTTCGGGGTGGGCACTGTGTGTGCCAACGGAGGGCAGAAAAGGACGAGGTGAGGCCTTCACAGAGCTGCAATGGGGCTGCACACAGCTTCATGGAGCTGCCCTCAGGCCCCTGGGTGGCAGCAGGGGTCCCATCCAGAGGCCCGGAGTGGAGGAGTGCAGAGGCCTGTGGGGCTGGCCAGCCTTGCCCTGAGCTCAGGTCTGCGGGCTCCCTGCCTGCCCGCCCACCCCTGCGGTCCTCGTTCCCCTCGGCCCCCGCAGCTTCCGCAACTTTGACGTGGAGGAGTCCCACCAGTGCTCCCTGGACTGGCTCATGCTGGGCCCAGCGGCCCCGCCCCGCCAGGAGGCCTTCCGGCTCTGCGGCTCCGCCATCCCACCTGCCTTCATCTCGGCCCGGGACCACGTCTGGATCTTCTTCCACTCCGACGCCTCCAGCTCCGGCCAGGCCCAGGGCTTCCGTCTGTCGTACATCCGAGGTGGTGCTGGCAGCAGGGTGGGGCAGGGCACCAGGGGCGCACGGGCTCCCGGGGCCCCGGCAGCACCCTCTCCTGGCCCACAACCTGCTGGGTCTCCCCCAGCAGCCCCGTCCGTCGGGGGGACTGGGCCTCAGGGTGCCTTGAAGCCCCTCGAGCTCACTGAGCCCACTTCACACCCTTGGCTCAAGTCAGGGATGAGCCCACCCGGACATTTGAGGCGTCTCCACCCCTCGGGTTGGGAGGCTGGGCTGGGACAGGGGAGCCACCCTGCCTGCTGCTGGCCCCGGTCACCTGCCGGAGGGAGGCTCTGGGCTCCCCTGACCGTGTGTCCCCCCCCGCCCCCCGCTCTCCACCCCACAGGGAAGCTGGGCCAGGTGTCCTGCCAGGCCGACGAGTTCCGCTGTGACAATGGCAAGTGCCTGCCGGGCCCATGGCAGTGCAACACGGTGGACGAGTGCGGCGACGGCTCGGACGAGGGCAACTGCTCGGCGCCCGCCTCCGAGCCTCCGGGCAGCCTGTGCCCCGGGGGCACCTTCCCCTGCAGCGGGGCGCGCTCCACGCGCTGCCTGCCGGCCGAGCGGCGCTGCGACGGCACGCAGGACTGCGGGGACGGCTCGGACGAGGCCGGCTGCCCCGACCTGGCGTGCGGCCGGCGGCTGGGCAGCTTCTACGGCTCCTTCGCCTCCCCGGACCTGTTCGGCGCGGCGCGCGGGCCCTCGGACCTGCACTGCACGTGGCTGGTGGACACGCAGGACCCGCGGCGCGTGCTGCTGCAGCTGGAGCTGCGGCTGGGCTACGACGACTACGTGCAGGTGTACGAGGGCCTGGGCGAGCGCGGCGACCGCCTGCTGCAGACGCTGTCCTACCGCAGCAACCACCGGCCCGTGAGCCTCGAGGCCGCCCAGGGCCGCCTCACCGTGGCCTACCACGCCCGCGCCCGCAGCGCCGGCCACGGCTTCAACGCCACCTACCAGGTCAAGGGCTACTGCCTCCCGTGGGAACAGCCGTGCGGGAGCGGCGGCGAGGGCGCCGCGGGCGCCGCGGGCGAGCAGGGCTGCTTCTCCGAGCCCCAGCGCTGCGACGGCTGGTGGCACTGCGCCAGTGGCCGCGACGAGCAGGGCTGCCCCGCCTGCCCGCCGGACCAGTACCCCTGCGAGGGCGGCAGCGGCCTGTGCTACACGCCCGCCGACCGCTGCAACAACCAGAAGAGCTGCCCGGACGGCGCTGACGAGAAGAACTGCTTCTCCTGCCAGCCCGGCACCTTCCACTGCGGCACCAACCTGTGCATTTTCGAGACGTGGCGCTGTGACGGCCAGGAGGACTGCCAGGACGGCAGTGACGAGCACGGCTGCCTGGCGGCCGTGCCCCGCAAGGTCATCACGGCGGCACTCATCGGCAGCCTGGTGTGCGGCCTGCTGCTCGTCATCGCGCTGGGCTGCGCCTTCAAGCTCTACTCGCTGCGCACGCAGGAGTACAGGTGGGGGGCCGCGGGGGGCGGGGCGGGGGGCGGGGGGCTCGGGCTGTCCACGTGTGGACCTCTCCCCGGCATCCCGGGAGCTCGGGCTGGAGGGCCGGGGAGGGGGGTGGCACCCGTGGGAGGCGGGCAGGGTGCGGACCCCGGCCAGCCCCGCCATGCTGCCCTCCTGCACCCCCCCGACCCCACCCCCCGCCGCTGCCTTCAGGGCCTTCGAGACCCAGATGACACGCCTGGAGGCTGAGTTTGTGCGGCGGGAGGCACCCCCATCCTACGGGCAGCTCATCGCCCAGGGCCTCATTCCGCCCGTGGAGGACTTCCCCGTCTACAGTGCATCCCAGGTGCGTGCCGGGGGTGGGTGGGGTGGGTAAGACCCCGGGGACCCAGGCTCCCACTTGGACCTCAGAGGACGGCCAGATGGGGAGACCAAGGGGCCAGGTCAGACAGTGCATGGCCCTTGCAAGGGTCGAGGGAGGTGGGGGGCGGTGGTGAGGCCACGGCCAGGTTGGGGGGAACAAGTTGGTCTCTTGGGGTTGCGCTGACCTCTGCCCCCTCCGCCACCACCCCGCCCTCCAGGCCTCGGTGCTACAGAACCTTCGCACAGCCATGCGCCGACAGATGCGCCGGCACGCCTCCCGCCGAGGGCCTTCCCGCCGCCGCCTCGGCCGCCTCTGGAACCGGCTCTTTCACCGGCCGCGGGCGCCGCGGGGACAGATCCCACTGCTGACGGCCGCACGCACCTCACAGACGGTGCTAGGTGACGGGCTCCTCCAGCCTGCATCAGGGACTACCCCGGAGCCCCCCGCACCCCTCACGGACACAGGCAGCCCCGCGGCAGCTGGGGATGGGCCCCCCCCAGGCCATGCGCCAGAAGTGGGACCCTCTGTGCTGCCCCCCTCTGGCCTGCGGGACCTGGAGGGCAGGCTGGTGGACAAGGACAGAAAAGCCGGCAGGGACCCTCGGGTGGACAGCCCGGCCCCTGTGGACATGCCTCGGGAGCCCTGCTCGGCCCAGGACCCTCACCCCCCGGCTCCCACTGCCAGCAGCACCCTAGGCCCCCATCCAGGAGAGCCACTGGGTGTCTGCAGGAGTCCCCCACCGCCCTGCTCCCCAACGTTGGAGGCCAGTGACGATGAGGCCCTGCTGGTCTGCTGACCCGCCGGACATGCTGGTGACCGCCACAGCCCCGCTTTGTAACCAGGGAATACACAGTCATTTCTACCCTGCCTCCGCGTCCTTCTTTCTTAGAGAGAGGCTGCCTGGAAGCCCGGCTGCCAGCTTGCTGCCTCGGCACCCCTAGCCCTGGTGGGCATGGCGGGCGGGGGCTGTGGGGGCTGGAGCAAGGAGGCAGGTGGAGTCAGGAGCCCCGCGGCAGGCACCCTGGGGTCTCACTCTCCCTCCCCCTCCTCCGTTCTGGGAATCCATCTCCAGGGAGCAGGAGGACTAGGGCAGGGCTCTCTGGAGAGTTGTCTGTGGCTTCTCACTTCATTTGCCCTCTGGGGCACCAGAGCTGTGCCGGACTGAACAGAACCACGGGTGTGACGGACCTAGTCCATGGAGGGCCCTCTGTCAATGCTCAGCCCTCCTCCAGTCCTCCCACCCAGCCCAGAGGAGGGGCAAGGAGGCTTCTGCCCTCATCCTCATGCCTGTGGTGTCAGCGTGGGCCTGGCCAGGCAGGCTCCCTTTGCCCTTTGCCCTGTGGCTGAGGGGTTAATCTCCTGGGCATGAGGGCAGGGCTGGGAATGAGGGCACAGGTCTCTTGCAGGCCCTGAGGCCCCCCGGGAGATCTGCTGGATGCTTTCTCGGGGGACAGTGGCCGAGCACCAACTGACAGTGGCCAAATCCGTCCCATCCTGTCTCAGGCTCTTAGTTTCCCCCTGTAAACCAGGGTGAGGCCACGGGCTCCCAAGTCCAGATACTCACTCCATGGAGATTTGTGGGAAAAAAAAAAGGCAGTTCCCACAGAAACGCCTGGGCCCTCCTGGGTGGCTGAGCCTTGGGCTGGCATTGTGGGTCCCGGGGAGGTGTCTCCCGATCCCAGTGTCCCTTTGGGGCAAGGCTGGCTCTGGACCCCACGAGGGAGAGACGGAGCGCCCAGCTCAAGAGGCAGAGCCCCCAGACGCCAAAGGCCTCCTCCAGAGCCTGCGGGGGCACCTTCCGCAGCCAGCACCACGCGAGCCCTGCCGAGTGATGCCCACCAGGGACTCACCTGAGACAAGCACACCACCCACCAGCCCTGTTTTATTCATAGACCTTTCCAGGAAAAGCCAGTGGGGCAGTGCTGACGGGGAGCCCACATCTGCAGGGCTCGCTCGGCCGAGGCCTCCAAGAGTCAGATCTCTTTTTTCTCCAGGACAAAACAAAACAAAACAAAAACCCCCCAAAACTTATTTTGCAAAAACACCTCCTCAATAAACAACATGTAAACAGAAACAGCTGCTTCAGGCTCCACGAATATCTCACTGTGTTTTCAAGGGCTTGTCCGTGGCGGGCAGCGGGCAGGGGCCATTTTCCTCCTCCTCGGGGGCACCCTGGGGGTAGACCACGAAACACAGCTCCTGGCCCCAGCGTGTCATGGACTCTGAGGACAGACGGACAAACAGATAGACCCTGGGTCTGACCCTGTGGGGCAGGGGTCCTCAGGGAGCTGCTCCCTTCGGGTGGATCCTGGACACTGGGGCCACCTACTGGGGACACTTCTGGTGGCGGCCGGACCCTGTTGCCACCGCTGCTGTGGGGAGGCCCTGCTCCAGGCCGAGCCCCTAAGAGGGTTGCATTCCCAGGCCTGCTACCGTGGGGAGGCTGCCGGCTCACCTGTGAGTCTGTGCACACACTTTGGTTTGCTTCTCCAGAACACCCCCAGGAAGAAAACAGGCACCCCTGTGAGGATGATGATCACGCCGACCCCACACACCATGGGCTCCGAGATGAAGCTGAAGACCAGCAGGAATGCCCAGAAAACCAAGTACGCCACAGGGACCAGGAGGTTCACCTGCGGGAGAGCCAGCGGGAGTGCCAATGGCACCCCCACCCTGGGGGGTCCGAGGTGCTTCCCACCCGCTCCTGGGAGCTTGAGGCGTGAGGGCCCCCGCTCTGGCAGTCGCCCAACGTGCTGGAAGCCAGCTCAGGGGATGGCCGGGCTGCCAAAGGGTTGAGGATTTGTAAACGTTTCAGTGGCTCTGAGCTGCACACAGCATTGATGTGTCACTGGATGTTTGCATTTGGTTGGAGGTCCCTCTCTCTCTCTTTTTTGGTGTTTCACTTTTTAAGGCACTGAGCACTTCTCCAGCTCCAGCATTTATATGCACACAGAATATTTGCATTTAGCTTGGGTTAAGCTCTTGCGTCCCTGTGCGCGCTCCTGGGATTCCGTGTGACCAGGAGCAAGCACCGGAGCCTCACTTTCCTGTTTGTAAACTGGGAGTATTCACACCCCGTGGGGCTGTTGTGAGGGCCGAATCCGTCAGTGCACATAGAGCCCCAAGCAGGGCCCAGCACGTGGCCAAAACCAGAATCCCGGTCGCTGTCATCACCTGGCCCCGGTGCCCAAATGACCGAAGGGGTGGCTCGATAGCGTGGGCCAGCCCATCCACTCCCAGGCCTCACCTTGATGGGCCTGTGGAGCGCCGGCCGCCTCCAGCGCAGCACGAGTAAGCCCAGGATGGTGACGCCGTAGCAGAGGTAGTTGATGAAGGACACGTAGTTGATGAGCGTGTATGTGTCTCCCACAAGCATGATGACCGCTGTGGCCCCGCACTGGGAGAGGACTGGGCTGAGGGTGGCCTCCCACCTGCCTCCATCGGCCCTGGGCCTGCCAGCTCAGGCCAGGAGGTCGATGAGCCCTGGCCCTTCCTGGTCCCTCTGTGGGCTGCCCCCTAGGGCCAGGACAAATCCCCACCATTCCCCACGTTGCTGGGTGGCCCCGGCTCCCCTCCCTGCCGGCCTTGGCCCCACAACTTACACAGACAAGGAGGGCAGGGATCGGGGTGCAGCGTCTGACATGGATCATGGCCAGCAGGCTGGGCAGGTGCCCCTCTCGGGCCCCAGAGAAGCACAGTCTGGGACAGAGATGGGTGGAGGCCATGAGCCCGGCCGCGGGCCTCCTACCGACCAGATCCTGGACCACAGCTCCAGACCTGATGTCCCTCTTGAGCTGTCATCTCTGACCCCTGCTCCGGGCCCCGGCAGCCCCATGGCGCAGTTCTTCCCTGTCTCGCCCCGCCTCCCTTTTGCTTTCTGGACCTCAGAGTTGGGGTCCGACTCCTGTTACTGGGGAGTTCATTGTCCCAGTTTCAGGTCGGACCCACCGGGCAGGATTTGACTTCCTCCGGCCCCTGGCACTGATCACACACACCTGCCTTGCCTCACCTTGACCAACCCCCTCCCCAGTCCAGTCACCTGGAGGAGGTGAACAGGTAGCCATTGATCCCTCCAAAAGTGGAAAGTGCCACGGAGACGGGCATGACCCAAGAAAAGTAGCCCAGCAGCTTCTCCCCGAAGGTCTGAGTGGGCACAGAAGAGAGGTGACACATGAGGCAGGGTGGGGTGGGCAGGAGCCAGGCACACGTGGGACCCCACTCACCACGGCCACCGCGTTAGAGGCCAGCAGCTCCTGGGGGGACATGGCAGTGAAGTAGGCGATGTTGGTGAAGGTGTACACAAAGGTCACCAGCGGGATGGAGATGACAATGGCACGAGGTAGGTTCCTGGGGGCAGCGGTGGAGTGTGTCAGCATCAGCCCCGGGGGCTGGGGGCGGGGCCCAGGGGACCCAGCAAGGGAACAGTCTGAGTCTCTATCTCCCGGGTCTGGGTCCGTTGGGGGCCTTGGGACAGGGAAAGGGGCAGCACTGCTGTCCCCCTGCCACCCCCCAGGCCCACCCTGGGCTACATCAAACCTGGAGGAGCAGGTCTAATGTCGGCGCTAAAGAGAAAAGTGCATACAGCCAAACTCAGCCTTGAAAATCCTCGAAAATCCTTGAGAAGTGCCCCTGGGGCCCAATGCATTGACCTGGGGTGCCCGTGGGACGCCCTATCAGCCCCAGCCCCAGTTGCCAACTGTTCACTGCTGGGACCCCTGGCTGAGCTCCAGATAGAGCTATTGGCTTCATCCGTAGGGACCACGTTGTGCGCACACATATCCATCTTGGCCAAAGGCAAACAGCTGGATCCATTGACAGGGGGACAATGATGCTCAGTGTTTCTGAGGCCCAGCGAGGGGCCACGACCCGCCCACAGCCACGCAGTCCCGGGCCAGGTTGGGGTACAGGTGTCCCAGCAGCAGTACGGTCAGGCGGATGACCGGGCTGAGCCCCAGGATGCAGGGGGTCTGTGCAGGGAGGCTGCCTCTCCCACCGCTGCACCCCTCCCCTTCCCAGGGCCTGGCCGGGCATCCCACTCACTTTCGGGGGTCGACCAGCTCCTCAGTGACATAGTTGAGGAAGTTCCAGCCGCTGAAGGCAAAGGAGCCCTGGAGGAAGGCCAGGGCCAGGTGACCCACAGAGGGTGTCATCCAGAAGTCAAAGGCATTGCTGGGCCTCAGCTCCTCGAAGTGTCCTGGGGGTCCAGAGGTCAAGGGTCAAAGTTGTCACTGAAGCCCTGTGCACGGCCCCACCCTGGCCCTACCTTGGAAGATCTGGACGAAGCCCACGCCAATGATGAGGGACAGGGCCAGCAGCTTCCCGCCGGTGAAGACGTCCTGGATGCGCGTGGCCCAGCGCACACTGGAACTGTTCACCCATGTCAGGAGCACTGGGGAGGAAAGGAGAGAGGGCGGGTGGGCCACAGCCAAGTCCGGCCCAGGCTGCAGGAGGGTGGCATCCCCCCCAGCAGCCAGAGCGCAAGCAGCCCACCCCCTGAGGCTAAGCTCCCAGGGGGCCGGCAGCTGGAGGGGAAACCCCCCCCCGACACACACAGTCCTCCCACCCGGGGAGCAGCGAGCTGGGTGTGGGTCCAGGGTGGGCACTCACTCAGGCAGGCCATGGAGAGTGCGCGGGAGGCAGCGGCTGGGGGGATGCAGTTGGGGAACACGGGCTGCAGCACGTAGTTCGAGAAGGTCATGGAGATGACAGCCAGGCTGGTTGGGTACATGATGAGGACCGCACTCCAGAGAAGCAGGAAGCTGGAATGAGGGAGGGCCCGACTGGCACAGGGGGGAATCCCGCACCCTGCCGATGCGCCAGAAGGCAGGGCCGGGGCTGTTGGGGGTCTCTGCTCTAATAACG